CCAGCTTATGCACACAGTCTTTCTTCTTTCATTTTGTGGATTAAAGAGCCATACAAGAACCCCTCATGGTTGAAGCCATCTACTCAGTATAAACTGCATGGAAATTGAAAACCTGGGAAAAGTCTCTCGAGATAGCGCATTTGTAGCTACTGGGAATGAGAAATAATGCATTGTTAAGAAAAAAAGAGGAAGAATAACAAGGGTCAAGAAACAAGAACAAAAATACAAAATGAGAGACAAAAATCAGAAAGTAACCCATTTCCTAGGAAGAGGGGTATAACTGCATGAAAGTCACCTATTGCTTTTGCATAACGTACACAAGTCAAACGAAAGCGTGCTGGTGCACGACTCTTCAGCAGGCACACCGAACACTCCAACAAACACTCCAAAGAAAATTGTTTCCTACCCTCTTCCAATACTGAATATTATACTACCCTGAGAATGAATCCAGGGTCTTCAGTGCCTGTCCAAGGTTCAGCAATTTTGCCTCATCTCTTGGCCTAGGGAACACCTGCAAAACACCCAGAACCATTCCTTCTGCTTGTTTTCCATTTGTTGCTGTTCCTTTACTAAATTGGGACTGAAACATCACTGTCATAAGAATATGTTCAGGTTCCTGTCGGTAGCCTAGTGGCTAAAGCCCTTGTCTTGATGTGGCAGTGTCCCATATGGCAGCCTCTTCACGTCCCTGTTGCTTCACTTCTCTTCCAAGTCCTTTCTTGTGACCTGGGAAAGCAGTAAAGGATGACCCAAAGCCTTGGGACTCTGCACTCATGTGGGAGACCTGGAAGAAGCTCCTGGCTCCTTGTTTCAGATCAGCTCAGCTCCGGTTGTGGGCACTTGCAGAGTGAACTATTGTATGGAATATCTTTTTCTGTGCCTCCTCTCTGTAAATCTGCCTTTCCATTAAAAATAAATAAATCTTTTTTTAAAAAGAATATGCTTGAATCACTTCTACATCTCACACTAGTACTGAGTAGATGCTTAGAGCATGGAATGCAGCTTTGCTGTGGGTGTTTGCACAGAGTAGTTTGACATGCAGGGCAGTGAGGACAGGGGCATGTCTCTGTGGACCCCCAACAATTCCTTGACAGGATAATCTTACAGAGGTGTCGAGGCCTGTCTCAACAACAGGAGACTAAATCAAATGTTGGGAACATTTTGGGGAAGAACCTCTTCTGTGTCATTTCAGTTAAACTGATTTTCCATTTGCCTTAAAACAAAAGAGGAAATGTCTGGTCCAGGCATTGTACGAAGCCTGTGAAATGATTTGGTCTGACTCTGCTAAATCAACTGCAAGAATGACTTGAAATTCAATAAATTTACAGCAGCTTATTTTTTAAAAATTTATTTTATTATCAGTAATATTATTATTAGTTGTGCTATTATTTATTGGAAAGGCAGATATACAGAGAGTAAGGAAAAAACAGAGAGAAAGACCTTTCACTCACTGATTCACTCCCCAAGTGGCTGCAATGGCCAGAGTTGCAGCCTGTCTGAGGGTGCTCACACTTTCCCCAACAGGCCCACTCACTATGGAACTTGCACTTATTGGGTGGTTTCGCAGTGTTGTTTTTTTTTTTTTTTAAAGTGTTTTTGGGGGGTTTGTTTGCTAACTTTTTGTTTATGAATACAGGCAGCCCCCACTGACTTGTTTGTTGTTGTTGTCTTTTTTTAAACCACCTATATGGGTGATACATGCTGATCTAGTGCTAAAGTCTTTGCCTTGAATGCATGGGGATGGCATATGGGCACTGGTTCTAATCCTGGTGGCCCTCCTTGCCCATTCAGCTCCCTGCTTGTGGCATGGGAAGGCAGTCAAGGACAGACCAAAGCCTTGGTATCCTGCACCAGCGTGGGAGACCTGGAGGAAGTTTCTGACCTCTGGCTTCAGATCAGTGCAGCTCTGGCCATTGTGGTCACTTAGGGAGTGAATCATAGCACAGATCTTCCTCTCTGTCTCTCCTCATCTCTGTATATCTGACCTTGCAATAAAAATAAAATGAATCTTAAAAAAAAAAAAGAAAAATCAGATATACAGAGAGAACAGATAGAGAGGAAAATCTTCAGTCTACTGATTCACTTCCAAAGTGTCCACAACATCTAGTACTGAGATGATCCAAAACCAGGAAACTTGAGCCTCTTCCAGGTCTCCCACAAGGTGTAGGGTCCCAAAATATTGAGTCATTTTTGACTGCTTTCCCAGGAAACACAAAGTGAGATGGGAAGTGGACTGCCAGGACATAAATCAGCATCCATAATAAATCCCAGTGCTTGCAAGGTGAAGAATTTAGCAGCTAGGCTACTGTGCCAGGCCCACTTCTGCTGTCTTGCCTGATAGGAACTGCCCTTAGTTCCAGCAAATGCCAGTTGATGCTGAGGCAAAGCCTAACCAGACTTTACTTACTCTGGCTCATGGCTGCATCAGTGGATACAGTTGGTTAGCCCAGCTTGACTCTCTCCACTCAGTTCACATGAAGGCCAAGGGGTGTTGTTACACTGCCCAGGCTGGTCTGCCCTGTACAGCACTCACACTCTCAAGTGGGAGCAGAAGCTCAGCAGTAACCTCCCACCATCCACCCTGCAGGTTTCATGTGTTAGTGGGTGTTGTGCTCAAGTCTGGAGCAACATGAATCAACTCGGCATTTGCCAGCAAGCATTGTAACCTGTCCTGGCTCAATCTTCTCCCAGTCATGGCTCCTGCTGATGGGGGCCATTACCCCAAACAGCCTAGTCAGACCCAAGTCCAGCCCTAATGTGGACTAGGTAGTATTGGGGCCTTTGTATGTGGGGGCCAGTACTCATCATTGGGTTACTGGGATGGTTGGATGGGTGGGTATGACTTCTCCCCATTACCCCCTTACCCAAAGCAGGAATAAAAAAATATAAAACAGAAAATTTGGGAATTCTATATATACAATGAGGGAAATTAAATTATTAAAAAATGCACAGAAACCCAAAACATGAAAAAAAAAATGATTAGATGATAACAGCAAGTGTATATGAGGAGATTTAAACTAAGTCCCAGTTGCTCATATTCAAGAGGCATGTAGATATAGAAACTGTGTCTCTAACTACAGTTATTCATTTGGAGACAGAGAAGTTTTATTTGCAAAGTGGCCGTGTGAGGAAGGGCAGAAGAAACAGAAAACACTTCCCCGAGAAAGCTAGGTAGTAGGTGCCTCTTGAAAGGTGAGAGAAATCCGATCTGTACCTCTTGAACATTGTTCCAACCCTTGGTTACTGGAGCTGGATTTACAACAGGAGTACATGACCCACTCCTGTTTTATCTCAATCCCCTTGAATCCTATTCTTCTGCCCTATTCTACCTTCCTATGATGCAATCACAAGAATCAAAGGATGTTAAGATGTTGTCAGAGAAGCTAGGAATGTTTGAAAAGAAGAACAGCAAAGCATGAAATCTCACTGCCAAGTAGGGTCTCTGAGGACTGTTCCTCGGAAGGACCTGAGCCAGGAGCTGATCAGCAACAATAGCAGAGGGTTCACAGCTGGGGGCTCACATGGGAATGGTGATCGGAAGCAGTTAGGAGTTATTCATTATGGGAAAATTCTGCAGGAAAAAGAAACTGCCTCTCCTTCACTCAATGCCCATCATTTTTGGGTTTGATGAGGACTTGTTTCTGAATATTAAGTAGTGGAAGTGGTCAAGGATGTCACAAAAGATACATGTTAATGGGCTTCACATTAAATTTTCGATTTACCTCAACACCAGTCATGGTACCCACTCTTATTATTATTTTTTTTTAATTTTATTTAAAGGCAGAGTTACAATGAAGGAAACAGGGGCAGGAAGGTATCTTCCATTCACTGGTTCACATCTCAAATGGCTGAAGTGCAGTAGCTGAGCTGATATGAAGCCAGAAGACAAGAGCAAGGATGTGAACCAGTGGGGCTTTTCTAGGATGACAGCACCTCAGACAGCTTAACCTACTATGCAACAGTGCTGGTCCTGGTTCTCACCCTTATAACTGAAAGACTTCATGCACAGGCTGGTATCAAATAGAGTAGCTCACCCACTGGCAAGAAAGTTACTGTGGGAAGTAATGATACACAAATCAGTGTGAACCTGAACAGTAGTGGTAGCAGCTGATACATAAACTCCAGGGGCTATTACCACAAAGCAAGAGTCCAATATCAGAACATTCTTATGTCTCTGGGATATAGCCTCTAGACTATTGGGGCTTTCCTGACCAGTCGGCCCTAACACCACAGAGGGGTGAGGTGATGGTGTTTTCTGGCTGTAGAACCACCAGAGACAAACTTGTGAGGAGTATCTGCTTATTGGGTATATCTTACAAGCTTATATAGAGTAGGAAAGGAGGAGGGCAGAAGGATGGTCCCAACACTACTACCACCAACAATCCTTTGTAACCAGCTAGTAGACATTCCTATCTCTCTGGACCTCCTAATCAAGTCACAGGTCACATTCCACATACAGGCTGTAAGCTGTGTTTAAGGTCACATGCAGGGGGAGCTGTGCTAGAGCGTCCCTGATAAGCAGCTCTGAAGTTAAAAGCAACCCTCATCTTGCTTCTAACTTCATATGAGATGCTATCACGGATGCCAAGCACAGCTTCATCCCAGGTGCAGAGTATCTTGGCCTATGCAGCAACCACTCTGGCTACCTTCCCAGTGAACAGGCCAGGTTGGAATTTGTTAGCTGATTCTACTGTCAGAGGTTTCCCTTGGACATAGGGTGTGCCGTGTGCCTATGGCTTCCCACATGGGCTAAGCTGGTAGACACCCAGGGGTGATTTCCCACACTAGAGTATTCAAGGAGATAACAGTACCCAGATGTTACAAACTCCACTGTGGACAAGATTCATCCTTCAGAGCTGAATTTTCAGCCTTACCATTGCCACGTGCATCAATTGATATCTGTGATTCCAATATTAGTCTGCAATGAAATACAGGTGAACATTCAGGTTCTAAAAAAGCTATATTAAATGTGGGAATGATAAAAATACTTCAAACAAGTGTTATGCCTGAATATTTATTATCAACATTCAAAACATGAAAAATTATTTACAATTTCCCCTCTCAACAAAGGGAGATCACATACAAATTGCATCTTAATTATTTTAGCAGTACATAGCCTATGTTCTGAAATAGAGACACTCCTCACGTTTATTATTTAACACTCGCTGAGACTTTCAAAATGTTTCTCCAAACCCATTGCACTTTTACAGTGTTGTCTATTAGCATTCTGGCTAATGCTTCTTTCATTCACTTTGTAAACTCTGATAGACCACAACAAAGGTTTATGGTAGGTACTTTTTCTGTTTATATACTTTTGTATTTCTAAGCTCCGTGGTCCAACAGAATTGACTTCAGAAAATCGACTTTTCATTCAATGCAGTAATATTTTATCCCTTTCTGTGCGTATGCAAACTGTTGAAGTTTTTATGCTTTCTACTGCATTCGAAGTGTTTGTGTAAGAATTTTTCCACACTTGTTGGAAAATTAACACTGTTCATTTTCACACTCATTCATTAGGTTTCATCTGTTAATTTGCTGATGTAAAATGAGACCTGACTAGTGTTACTGGCTTTTCCACACTCACTGCATTCATGTTTCCTGTCCTGTATGGATTCTCTGATGTCTCACGAGGTGTGACTTAATGTAAAAGGCTTTTTCACACTTGCTACACTGATAAGGTCTTTCCCCCGTGTGGATTCTCCGATGTTTGATTAGGAATGACTTCAGACGAAAAGCTTTTCCACAATCACTACACTCATAAGGTTTGTCCCCTGTGTGGATTCTCTGATGTAAGCTTAGATATGATTTCCGGGAAAAAGATTTTCCACACTCACCACATTCATAAGGTTTTTCTCCTGTGTGCATTCTCTGATGCATGATTAGGTATGATGTCTGAGAAAAAGCTTTTCCACATTCACTACACTCATAAGGCTTTTCCCCTGTGTGGATTTTCTGATGTCTAATGAGGTACGATTTTCTGGAAAAAGCTATTCCACATTCGCTACATTCATAAGGTTTCTCCCCTGTGTGGATTCTCTGATGTCTAATGAGATCCGACTGCATATAAAAGGCTTTTCCACACTCACCACATTCATAAGGCTTTTCCCCTGTGTGGATTCTAAGATGTGCAATGAGATCTGAGTGGTTGCTGAACGATTTTCCACACTGGCTACATTCATAAGGTTTTTCCCCTGTGTGGATTCTCTGATGCCTAATGAGATGTGACTGCATATAAAAGGCTTTTCCACACTCATTACATTCATATGGTTTTTCCCCTGTGTGGATTCTATGATGTCTAATGAGATCTGACTGGTTGGTGAAGGCTTTTACACACTGGCTGCAACCATAAGGCTTTTCCCCTGTGTGGATTCTCTGATGTAAGCTTAGGTATGATTTCCGGCAAAAAGCTTTTCCACACTCACTACATGCATAAGGTCTTTCCCCAGTGTGAATTCTCTGATGTATGATTAGGTATGACTTCCGAGAAAAAGCTTTTCCACAGTCACTACATTCATAAGGTTTATCCCCAGTGTGGATTCTTTTATGTGCAACGAAATCTGTGTATTTGCTAAAAGATGTTTCACACTGGGTACATTCATAAGATTTTTCCCCAGTGTGCATACTCTGATGTCTGATTAGGGATGTCTTTTGAGAAAAACCTTTTCCACAATCACTACATTCATAAGGTTTTTCCCCTGTGTGGATTCTCTGATGTCTGATTAGGGATGACTTGTGAGAAAAATCTTTTCCACATTCACTACATTTGTAAGGTTTTTCCCCAGTGTGAATTCTCTGATGTCTAATGAGAGATAACTGCTGGTAAAAGGCCTTTCCAAGCTCATTATATTCATATGCCTTCTCTCCTGTGTGAAGGATCTGATCTCTCATGAGTTCTGATTTCTGGTAAATGTTCTCTTTACATTCATTGCACACATAAAAATTTTCTTCTGTGTCAGTTCTCTGATTAGTTGTAAGGCAAAATTTATAGCTAAAATATTTTTTACAGTAGACACATATATAATGACCTTTTTCTGTTTGGGTTGTCTGACTTATTTGGAGATCTGTTTCATAAACAAGAGATTTCTCACTCTTGAAATGATTGTGGAGATTCTCTCCTGATTGTGTTTGCTGCTGTGTGCCAAAGTAAGGATTGTTATGGAACACTTTCTCTTCAACTTCAATTGTTTCTCCCACATTGACAGGCTGCTTACTACATGGGTCTTCCATATAAACTTTCTCACACATAAGGAATATCTGTTTCCCATTGTGTTCAAAAGACTGCTGGCAAACGTGTATCTTGTCATGCTGACTAAAATTTTCCTCACACTTGAGATTGTTCTCAGGGACATCAGAGGCATGGTTTTTCCCAAATGACATTTCATCAGGCATCCTAGGAAAAATAAAGAAAACATTTTGAAATAAATTATGCTGTATTTCCCTCTCCTTTCAAAGGGCACCCCATCTCTGAACTCTGTTCCAGAAGGTGTTTCCCCCCTCCCCTCCTCCAAGTTCACCAGGTCACTTAGCAAGTAAAACTTCTGTTGACAACTGTTACTGTATAGTTGTCTGTTACTGTACTAAGCTCAGGAAAGAGCCACTGAGTCTTCCTGGTAACATTTGCTCTGGTGTTCAACATGAAACATAAAAAAAGATTTCTGGTTCTTAGAACAGAACCACATGGCTTGACACAGATGAAAGAATACTTCAAAAGATTGGCATGCCTTCGCTTAAAGTGGGATGACCTATACAAATGACCTTTCGTACATCATTGCTCTACACAAACATGACCCTACCCACCCAACCACCAGGCCTCCAGCCACTGTCTAACTCTGGCTAGGCTTTCAGATGCATTGTACTTTTTAGTTATTATTATTACATTGCATTATGTGACAGTTTCATTGGCTCTGGGATTCCCCCAATCCCTCCCCGTACCCTCTCCCCAGGGTGGATTCCTCCACCTTGTTGCAGTATTACGGTTCAAATTAAGTCAAGATTCTTTCTTTGCAAACATAAACCAAGCATAGAGTCCAGCATCTTATTGTCCAGATAAATTCAATAGTTTCTTGGGGAGACCATCTCTGGTCTAAGGGTAGAGCTGGCAGAATATCATCCCCATCAATTGAAAGCCACAACATAACAACAATTTACATTATGGAGTTGACATTGGTATTGAATAATCAATATGTTAAAACCATGTAAGTTCTTAACCACCTCCTGTGACTACTTCATTGACATTTTTTTGTTTATACACAGAACAGGCTGCTATACACTTTAAAGTGACTATAGGGTACTATTCGGGTGTCTCATGTCTATATTCATTTTAGTATTTAGCAGATTATAGTGCTGAAGCATAATTTTGCTGAACTTGGCAGAGTTTAGGATAGTCTAAACTGGCTTATAACTCTAACAAGGCATTTGTCAACAGTTGAATACAGAATAGTTTTAGGAGCGGTGTGCAGAGAAATCTTCAATATCCTAGTGAGGAGTAATTCATCTTTGTGTCCTACCTAGTAAGGTATATGAGGATCCACACTGTTTCCTGTCTGATTCTAAACTTTCCTTGTATTTCTCTATCTATTCTAAAATTTGGGGTTTTTTTTTGGGGGGGGGGGTGCCTCTGGAGCAACCCTGATGGTCATTGCAAGAGAGAGTGGGGATCCAAAATTGGAACTAAGTAAGGACCAGAAAAGGCTCCTCTCCCTAGTCCCGAAGGAAGTTTACGGTTCTTCTGTTTCTGCAGACCACCCAGGGCTCCTGGCTGTTGTTCCGATGACCTTGGCTCATGCAAGGAAGGATTTGGGTTTCTTCCATCCCATGTGGTAGATCCAAATAGGGCTGGGTTACCTCAGAGTTCTCGGCCCCCAATTCCCTGTGGTCTCCGTAGCTGTTGGGTTGTAGTCCTTGGTGCCTATACTGATAGTCCTTGGTGAGGATCTGAGAGTCTTCAGGTTTGGGATATAAGCCTCCTCCTGTCCCCCTGCTCAACTCTGGGGTTCCCCCAGCTCTGTACATATGACGTCATCTTAAGAGGTTGTCAGGATAGCTCTTAGTTCCCCTATATGCCTTTGTAGTTTTACTATTGTCTAATACTGCTTCGAATCTGTTGTTTATGAGTTACTTATTATGTTCCTGATAGGTTATAGTTCACGTCTTCCTCACACCTTCAAAGGAGATGAAATATTTCTCTGCTCTCCCGTCTGCGTTTCCAAGTAGCTTAGGGTCTTAAAAGTATGTTAGGTTTTCGGAGGACCGCCAAGGCAACACAGGTTGTCTCATTCCTGCTTTGTGCGCACTGGCCACCACGTACACATGGTGAGCCATTCCCGGGCCTGCCAGACAGAGCTGACCTCTCGGAGAAGGGTCCCCGGCTCTGTTACGCGGTCCGGCCTCTCCTACTGCTCACTCTGGCTTGAGCTGGGGAGGGGGTTGGGAATGGGCAGGTTCTTGGGTCCGGGGATTTTAACTTCTTGCAGCCCCAGGCCGTGGAGGCCCCCAAGGGCAACACAGGTCATCTCATTCCTGCTTTGCAAGCACCAGCCACCACGTGCATGGGGTGAGCCATTCCCGGGCAGTCAGCAGGCAGAGCTTGGCGCCAAGTGGTGCACTGGGTACCCAGCAGGGGAGCTCTGGGATTTTGGCTCTCCGATGCACTGCCTAAGTAGCTCCATGCTGAATCCACAGTGCTTTGGAGCCATGAATCATTCTAAAGATTCCCAATGACATTAGTAAATCTTCCTCTGAAGAACCTGTAATTACGTAAAAATGCTGAGCACCGAATACCAGTTCATTCAAAAGCTCATCATGCCCAGCAGGATGTCCCTATTACCTGCCATGATGATGGATCAGTAGAAGGGTCACAGTGGACAGGGCCATGACATTAACTAGCACTCAAGAACCATATCTGGGGGTGGATTGTATGGGCGGGGGTGTGGGCCACACCCTGTGGAAATTCTAACCCCATTAGGAGACGCAGGAGAGGGGATGGTGACAGTCTAAGCTGGTTGAGACCAAGGAGCTTAGCCACAATGTCTAGGACAGGGATTGTGACAGGCAACGGGCTGTTCTGAGTTGAGCCGAGCAACCACTGGCACACGTAACACTGGCTGTGATCAGGCCTGGTTGGGGAGCTGGGGGGAGATCCTGGCTGGGTGAAGGTTCCCACCAAGGGGCACACACGATGGAATGGGGCTGTGTTCTGGTCGGGACACAGTTGTAACCTCCCTTGGTACAAGTGTGGACTGGGACTTGGCACACTGGGCCGGGTCAGACTGTAACACCTTCTGGTGCTCTGGAGGACCAGGGTAGATGTGGGACAGACTAGGCCAGGTTTCAACCCCCAACTGAGCCATGTATGTGCTATATGTGGGTATGGATGAGCTGTGGCTGGGCTGAAACATCCAGCAGCAAGAACCAGAATGGGTTTAAGGCCAGTAAAAAGAGCTGTTGCTCCTGCTAGGACAGGAGATAAACTGAGTGGTGCTGGCCCACGGACCCACTGGTATGCATGAAACCTAGCACCAGAAGGATTCTGAAGGAGGAGTCTGGGTGACTACTCTGACAGGACATAGATCCTCCAAATAAGCACAAGAAGCACAGAAGGAAACAGCCCAAAAAAAGTGCACCATTGGCATACAAAAGGCATGGGTTGGGGGCGGACCAGGCTGAGTCAGTTCGTGTTGTCCACTGGCAAATGCGAACGCCAGAGCAGAGTATGGGTCAAGCCAGGTTCGGTTGTGACAAAAGCAGGACACAACACAGAATACCAAAGAGAGGCTGCCTGTGCCAGTTGAGACCGCAGCACCCAACAAGCACACATGTGAGAATCAGGAAGGAGGGACAGAGCTGAAAGGGGAATAAGGGGTGGTTCCCTTGCTGGATAGCTACTCCCACTGGAGAGCATGAGCTGGGACCAGACTAGGCAGGGCTGCAGCATCTGTGCGCCCCATATGGACCAGATCAGGGAACAGCCAGGACAGGTGGACTATTCCTACTAGAGTTAACAAAACTGGAGGGGGTGAGAGCTGTCGGGGCTTAGCAGTAGCAGAAGCTGGCACTAAGGGCCATTACTGTCAAGTCCAACCACAGGGCCACCTGCAGAGAGCACAAACTGAGAGTCAGAGTGACCTGGGAGATAAACAGTGGGCTCCCCTCTCTTGGGTTCACACTCCCAAGGGAGGGCACAATAACAACTAGGACAGGGGCTGGGATGGCTAGACAGAGAGGCACTCAACAAGATCCATGAAGGTTGGACAGTTGAGCTGGTTGGATGGAACTAAGCTCCAATACCCTTCGACATCTATGAGAGCCCAATGGGATATGGGGCAGACTGAACCAGGCTGCTACACATGCTGGCAAATCAGGGCAGGGGCGGGCCAGGTGGGGATTATTGTGGATCATTCCCACTAGGCTGCAGCTCCCAGAGGTTGGTGTGATGGCCGAGTACGTGATGAGCAGAACCAGGACGGACTACAACACCCATTGATTCCAGTGGAAGTCGAGACTCAAGACAGAACCAACCCAGCAATTGCAACCACCAGCTGAACAGGGACCAGAGAAGGTCTCCCCAAGAAGCTGTTGAACTTACCTGGACAATAAGATGCTGGACTCTATGCTTGGTATATGCTTGCAATGAAGGAATCTCAACTGAACTTCAACTGTGGTTACACAACAAGGTGGAGGAATCCACCATGGAGGGAGCATTAGGGGAGGGGTGGGGAGAATCCCAGTACCTATAAAACTGTGTCACATAATACAATGTAATTTTTTAAAAAAAAAGTATATTAGGTTTATTAAAATTCTTTGATGTAGATCATAGGCAGTCTGACTCAACTGATTGTTGATTCATTGACTAACAAATGCATTGTACTTTAATGGTGGTGGAGATAGGAAGCATAGCAGCTTAGGACCTAAGAGGCTCTAGTCACCAACGACCCATTTGGACTTTTCCTATCACCTCAATTTTCATTTTGGAAGCAAAGCTCTTGGTGCATGTTTAAAAAAAAAAAAAAGCCTGAGGAAGGACTGACAGTCCCTGGAATGAGCCACTTTCTGCATGACTTGAAATGCCCCAGGTGGATTCTGAATGCAGACCACCTGACATGGTACTCAAGTTCTGGGCTTCTTTCTCATGTTTCAGGTTGGTTTATCTTTGTTGGTGGAGTGATGAGACTTCTACCACCCAAAACGTATTCTGCTTGGGTTTGATCTGATGAAATGACTTATGTGGGCCTTTGGAGGACTCTCAGCATAGATGAACTGAGAGAAGATCAATCTCTATAATGTCTCCTGTCTCAATTCTATCATTCATATGGCTTCCCACCATTGAGACCTGAACAGCCACGAATGGAAGGGGTGTAGTTGGAGCTGTGGAGTAGGAGTTCTTTCCTGTCTGACTGAGAGACAACCAATGAGAAATGTCTTACCCACAGGTTCCTTTCCAGACCTGAAAAGGTCAGGAGACCCTTAGAAAACCTAAGATCCTTCTTAAAAATTTTGGTGTCTCTCCCTCCCTCCATTCAATAGTAACCCCATCTCCTTGCTCTCTACAAAAAATGTTATTCCATTCCCTTTGTTTTTCTACATTCACCTGGTCACTTTGCAAATAAAATTTCGGTCTGCAAATGAAAAAAAAAATTAAAAAAGAAAGAAGTATTTCTCAAGTTTCTTTTTTGTACAATTTCCTTTTCATATCATATTTCAATTATGGCCAGAGCTTGATTAAGCATTTTTGGCAATGCGATTTTTGGGGAGGGAGTAATTGTATAATTATTCTGATTACAACTTGCCTGAAGATTATTTCTTGACTTTTCTGATTAGCTCCAAGCAGCTCATTATTTCTGTACGGATCTGGAATGAGGAAAAAGAGTAACCACATCCATGAATAACATCTAAGTATTTCTTTTCAAATGCTCACATAAAGGCAATGCAGTTTCCTGACAGTCTAAAAATACAGCAGATTTTAATATTAGAAAAACATGGACTTGAGCAATATTAATAAGCATTACATCTTATGTACTAATGCATTAACAGCATAACTTTTAAAAATCAAAATTTCATTACTTGGAGATTTACAATCTTTTTTATTTTTTAAGATTTTAAGGCTTCTTTATTTTTATTGCAAAGCCAGATATATACATATAGAGAGAGAGGAGGAGAGACAGAGAGATCTTTCGTCCAATGATTCACTCCACAAGTGAGTACAACAGCCAGAGCTGTGTTGATTTGAAGCCAGGAGCCAAGAGCTCTCCTGAGTCTCGCACGTGGGTGCAGGGTCCCAAGCCTTTGAGGCATCCTCGACTGCTTTCCCAGACAACAAGTAGGGAGCTAAATGGGAAATGCAGCAGTCAGGATTAGAACCGGTGCCCATATGGGATCCTGGCACGTTCAAGATGAAAACTTCAGCTTCAAGGCCACTGTGCCAGGCCTTGGAGTTGCAAATTTTAACTGGTGGGGGTATAGGACAAAAAATTCGGCACAAGAATTCAAACTTAGGGTCCAGTGGCATGGTGTAGCAGCTAAAGTCCTTGCCTTGAACGCACTGAGATTCAATATGGGTGCCGGTTCTAATCCGAGCAGCTCCACTTCCCATCCAGCTCTCTGCTTGCGGCCTGGGAAAGCATTCAAGGATGGCCCAAAGCTTTAGGACCCTGCACCTGTATGGGAGACCTGGAGGAAGTTCCTGGATCCTGGCTCTGGACTGGCACAGCACCGGCCCTTGCGGTGATTTGGGGAGTGAATCATCGAACAGAAGATCTTCCTCTCTGTCTCTCCTCATCTTTGTATATCTGCTATTCCAATAAAATAAATAAATCTTAGAAAAAATTCAAACTTAGGCTTGTGGTATCTTATATCGCATAACAGTGCCGATTTGTGTTGCCTTGCCTGCTCTGTTTCAAACATAGCTTCCTGAAAATGTATCTTGGGAGGTGGTAAATGATTCAAGTGCTTGGGATCATAGAAAACACCCATATATAGTTCTAGATGTATGGTTACAGGATGGCAAATTTGGAAAGGCATTGCTAGAATAAACCTGCACATGGAGAATATAGAATGCCTGTATCTCATCAGCTATCCTATAGGAAAAAACTTCAAAAGGAAATAAGTGAAAATTCTAGTCAACATTTACGGAGCTATGTATCAAATTCTCTGCGCACTATGTGCTAATTCTGTGCAAATATGACGTTACAATTTCCTTATTATTCTGTAACAGATTGTTTTCTATAATTATAAAATGAATTCATGGTGTAATTTGTAGATACATATAACATATATATATATAGCATAGACAATGCATATAAATATATAATATATACACAGATTATATATAACATGAACTAAATAACATGCTAGATCATATAAAGAAGACATGTTTAATACTGCACAAAATAGGAAGAATGTTTTTTTAATAATTTAGGCTGTTCTCAAATATCCTGAGATACTTCAATATCTTATAAAGCAATAATAAAATACAAATGTTCTTAATCCCTAATGAAATAATGAAATATTGGAAATATTATTAAACTGACCTTGAGTAAATGAGTAAATATTTCCTACTGCTTATTCTGGAGTTAAATATAAATATGAACCCCACACTTTTTAAAAAAAAAATATTTATTTTTGTTGGAAAGGCAGATATATGGAGAGGAGGACAGAGAGGAAGATCTTTCGTCCACTGGCTCACTCCCTAATTGGCTGCCACAGCTTGAGCTGAGCCAATCCAAAGCCAGGAGCCAGGACCTTCTTCCAGGTCTAATATGAGGGTGCAGGGTCCCAAACCTTTGGGCCATCCTCGACTGCTTTCCCAGGCCACAGGCAGGGAGCTGGAAGGGAAGCAGGGCTCCTTGCATTAAAACCACTGCCCTTATGGGATCCCAACGTGTTCAAGACGAGGATTTTAGATGCTAGGCCATGACACGGGGTTAAACTCCATACTTTTTACATCTGTGTATATACATATTAAAATCCTTTCTACTTTCTATTTGTTTTACTTTTCAATGAAATAACATTTAAATTAAACTAAAATTTAATTACTACATAGTGAACTATAGCTTTGTAGCTAAACAAATTACAGCCTTATTCAGAATTAGCTTCTTGTAACACATTAACTAATAGCCAGTCACTGCCGGACAGTTGAACAGAAAATATACAAATATGGCAAATGCCATGTTGTAAGAATCCTATTAGTTTTTTCATTATATTTTGAATGCCCTTTAACATTGACCAGTTATCTTCCCTTTTTCCCTGTTACTTTCTTCAACATCTGAAATAACATGGCTTAAATTCACATTCCAATAAAGATGTTACCTTTTCATCAACTAGGTAAAAGGAAAATACAATGACCAAAATATGAGTAAAAAGCCAAATTATTAAAATCATTAGGTAGTTTCTTTGATCACATGGAATTAAGCTTGAAATCATCTTTAAAAATAAATTTGAGGCCTGGAACAGTAGCCTAGTAGCTAAAGTACTTTCCTTGCATACACTGGGATCCCATATGGACACTGGCACGTTTCTGGGCTGCTCACTTCCCTTCCAGCTTCTTTCTTGTGTCCTGATAAATCAGTACGGAGCGGCCCAATGCCCTAGGACCCTGCACCTGTGTGGGAAACGTGGCAGAAGCTCCTGGCTTGGATCAGCTAAGGCACAAACATTGCGGCCTGTTGGGGAGTGAACCAGAGGATGTAAATTTTTCTCTATGCCTCATCTCTCTGCAAATCTAACTTTCCAATCAAAATAAATTAGAAACTACATCTAACAAACTGTACCTTAACAATGGCATTATAAGTCACTTTGGAGTCATCAAAATTTCACTCCTACTCACACATTACAACACATTGTGTGTGCGCTGGCTGTAGAAAACGCTTTGCGAAAATTATTATACATTTAGGGAGTTCGAAAGAGTTATTAAGGTCAGTGGATGGTAGTTATTAGACAAGCTCAATTGAAAATGTGCATAAGTTTCAAAATCAATGATGCTTGTGTATTACAATATATATGTGCATTTTAGTCAATTACACTGTTATTATTGGGTGGGAGGGCTGTCAGGGAATGCCCTTCTGTCATTTATTTCCTAGTGTTCCTGGTTGTGCTCACTGTGCAATAAATGGAAATCTCCCTCACACTGTCCCTGGGGATTCATGCAGCCAAAAATAGGAAGCCTCAACACCTCGGTGCTCTTGGGGCCTCCTGGCAGGAAAATCCCCACACACTCAAAAGCAATAAAAACAGATACAAAATAGACAAAAAATGAACAGACATTTCTACAAGGAATATAACCAAAACAAATCATGAGTAATTATGTATTATGGCTCTAGGTGTATAATGATGAAACTAATATTAGAAATGGTACTCAAGGACTGTCTACATTGTTAACCTTCTCACAGACTTTGGAACCAGTACAGGGTTATCGGTTGGAAGAAGCAGGGAACATGTCAGTGTTCTCATGGTCTGCCTCTGTTTCCTTTCAAAGCTGCCACTAGATGTGTGGACTGAACTGTAGCATGCTGGGCCGAGTTTCCCATATGGGTGAAGCTCATGTACAGGGTGTTCCACTTCTAATCCAGTTTCCTGTTTTGGCTCTGAGAAAGCAACAAAGCATAGATCAAGTCCTTGGGCATCTGTACACATGTGGGAGACTCAAATGAGGCTCCTGGCTTTGGATTTTGCTTAGGTCTTGCCACTATAGCCATGTGGGGAGTAAAGTTACAGATGGAAGATACTTGTCTTTCTCCCTTCCTCCCTCCCTCTCTCCCTCCCTCCCTCCCCCTCTCTCTCTCTCACATTTTTCCTACAACTTTGCATTTCAAATAAAAACCAAAGGTAATGCAACAAGAGGCCAGCACTATGGTTTGGCAAATAAAGCCACTGGCATCCCACAGGGACACTGCTTCATATCCTGGGTGCTCTGTTTCTATCCCAACATTCTGATAACAGGCCTGGAAAGCACGTGGAGGATGGCTCAAGCACTTGGGCTTCCTATAATCTAGTTGGAGACCTGGACAAGTCTCCTGTCTCCTGGCTCCTGGCCAGACTTGCTTACCTCTGGTCATTCTGGTTATTTGAGGAGCGAATCAGCAAATGGGAGATCCTCTCTATCTCCCATTTTTTAGTAGCTCTGCTTTTCAAATTAATAAATCTTAAAACAAAACAAAGTTACCCAGCAACAGGAAATGGCATTGTGGCATAGCAAGTTAGCTACTAGCTGCTTCACTGCCACTGCGGCTCTGAGTCAATGTGAATTGCAAACAGTGAAGGATGCCTCAGGCACTTGGATGGGAGACTCACGGGAGACTCAGATGGACCTCCTGGTTCTTCTGTGACATGGTCCAGCCCTGACCATTGTGACCACTGGGAGAATCAATCAGCAGAGAGCAGACATATCTGTCTGTCTCTGTCTCTCTCCTACTCTTTCTGCAAGTCCAACTTTATAATGTACAAATAATTGGATTCATTTAAATCTTTAATACAAGAACCTGCAGAATATTTCATTCTCTATACATTTCTGTAGCAGCTCATGAGTATAGTACATCCTCCAAGTGTTACCAGGCATCACACTGTTTCAGCAATTCCAATTCCAATAAAGCAAAAGTGAAAGGCTAATAGCTAGATTTATATATTATTTGGAATATATATGTTTGGAAATTGTACTACTCCAAAAGGTTCAGTGTTTATTTTCAGGTTAGTATTAAATTATCTTCATTTGAATCATGTCTAGTAATCATGTCATGTTACAGCATCAAAAAAACCGGAAGAGAAAGTTTCAATCAGCTTTGACAGCTCCAATGTCTTAGTTATGACAATTTTGCCTTGTTTCCCTCTTATATGCTGTTTCCATTTTAGCTTAAAGCCATCATAAAGATCCTAAAACACAATGTAAAACAAACTACTTACTGAAGGTGTGTTTGTGTTCTCCAGGCACGGAAGCATGTACTGGGCTGCAGAGCTGCACCTACAAAAAAAGTGGAGAGAGGAAGTGATGAATTGGCCTTGCCTATTCCTAGTCTCTTTAGCAGTCCCTACTGTGCTAAGCCATCTCAGGACTGGAAGCAGACACAATGGCTGGAGAAGCAAAAGCAATCAGCTTCCCTGGGCAAGAGTAGTGCCAGGAAAGTGTCCTTGAAACAGTATCTGAAATTTCAATAATTGGCAGTGACTAAACTCAAGTCATCATTAGGTTGATGCAATCAATTACTACTTTTTTCAAAAAAAAAATTTTTAAGATTTATTTTTATTACAAAGTCAGATATACGGAGAGGAGGAAAGAGAGGAAGATTTTCCATCCAATATTTCACTCCCCACTAGGCTACAACAGTTGGAGCAGAGACAATCTGAAGCTCGGACCCTCGAGCCTCTTCTGGTTCTCAGAAGTGGTGCGGGTTCCTAAGGTATTGGACCGTCCTTGACTGCTTTCCCAGTCTGAAAGCAAGGAACTGGATGGGAAGCTGGTCTGCTGGGATTAGAACAGGCAGCCATATGGGATCCCAGTGCTTTCAAATTGAGGAATTCAACCCTAAGCTTAAACAATTGTGACAATTATTTTAAAATAGTTACTGCCAAGCACTAACATTTTTCAAGAACTAATGTTCAAATCACAAAACACCATTGAAACAATATCACTGTCAAGAAAATTTATGCTACAGAACACTTCCGTGGTGTTCTACATTTCTCTATTTCTACACATGAGCTGCAAAGGACTCCATGTAAGGACTTCCATTAGAACACTTCTTGCTGTTTATATTAAAAACTTTGTAGAAGGCAAACATCTTTCGATCAGAATAACTTAGTCTATACCTATATATGAAAAATGGATATAATACACATTTACTCTATACAGCTTTCCAGTAATTGTGCCAAATGCAAGTTCTTAGACATGGATGACACTTCCCAGCTCCTAAAGCCTCAATCACACTGGACTTTGCCACATTATTTGCCTTAGCCCATAGGACATCCATAAATATGACAGCAACATAGTTGACAAGTGATTTTACTTTACCTCATCAAGTAGCTACATTAAGGCAACAGCCAGAAAAAACCATCAGACTTAGAGGAGTGAATGTCATGATACAAGAGGATGGGCTGTTGCTTGGAATAGATCACATCTGATCTCCAAATACCTTGTTTAGGTCTCCTGGCTATGCAACACTTCCAATGTAGTACCCTGCTACTGTGCCTGGAACACAGTGGTGGGTTCCACGAGCCCCCTGGGAAAGCTAGATGGATTCCTGCTGCTGGATTAAACATGGCAGAGCTTGACATCTTGGGAATCAACCAGTGATGGAATATCTCTTCTCTGCAATCTACCTTTCAAACATATATTTTTAAAAATGATCACAAAAATTAACGTACTAAAAGACTACAAAGCTACACATTTTAAGTTGATTTCTGGATCTATATTGGTGAGTAAAAGAAATGTATTTCAAATTCAATAAAGAGGATTTCGCAAAGACACTTACGTTGATATTTTCGCAGGTACTTAGGCAATCTACTTCTTTTTTTTTCTCCTGTATTTTATTTGTAATTTTATGATAAAAAAAAAACAATAGTCTCTGAGATTTCCTTTATCCCCTGGCACTGCTATGCAGTAAGACCAGCAGTAGAGCGGTAGATTAACACATTACACCACAAATTCAGCAAGAAAGATTAGTGGTTTTGACTCATCACTACTAAAAATATTCTCATGTACCTCTGGTGTCTGATTATACATTTAAAAAATAAATACATTTTATAATCCCATTCTTAAAAAGACAAACACATTATATCACCTTTCCCTAAACACCCTTGGATCTAAAACAATCATTACAATAAGTGGAGAATCTTTCTCTCTACATCTCCCTCTCTGTATACCTGTGATTCCAATAATAAAATTAAAACTTTTTATATATATTTTAGATGATGTTTTCATGTGGATCAAGATGGGGAGATTCAAGGGTTAGGGAAAAGTGGGTGTAATCATTGTCTCCAAATTTTGATTGCTTCTTCCTATATAATCCTTAAATGTATTTTAAGATACATGAAGACTACAGGATCTAAAAGCCAAAATATTAAGATGATTAAGATGATTAGGTAATATCACTGATATTAGCTAATATCACATGAAATTCAGTAAGAAACATTTCAAAAAATAAATTCAGGACCCAGCGTGGTAGCCTAATAGCTAAAACTCATGCTTTGCATGCACCTGGGATCACACATGTCACTGGTTCGAATCCTGGATGCTCACTTCCCTTCCAGCTCCCAGCCTGTGGCATGGGAAAGTAGTAAAGGGCATCTTAATCTCTTGGGACTCTGCACCTGCATAGGAAACCTGGAAAAAGCACCTGGCTGCTAGCTTCAGATCAGTTCAGCCCCAGCCATTGCACCTCATTCTGGAATCAACCAGTGGATCAAAGATCTCTGTCTCTCCTGCCTCACTGTAAATCTGACTTTCCAATTAGAATAAATTGGAAAATACATTAAACAAATTCTACCATAACAATGGCATTATAATCTAATTTGTAGTCATCAAAATTTCAACCCTACTCACACATTACACTGTGGGCAGTAGCAATTTCTTCAGCAGAATAATTAGAGTACAGACATCCAAAATCTTACTAAGGTCAATGGATAGTATAGTAACAGGACAATCACAATTCAATTTGCATCAGTTGCAAATAACAATTGCATATTGCATAATAACTATGATAGTCAACTGAAATGTTCCCAAGTTGGCATGAATAATCGCCTACCTGCCCATGACCTGAGGCACGGCTTCCAGCCCTGTGTGTCGAACATGACCTGTGACAGGACTGGAGGTTCTAAAGGGACAGACATGTCTTCTAGTCAATTAGTGTCACTGTGGGGTGGGAAGGCTGCCAGGGAATGCCCTTCTGTAGCCCCCTTTCCTAGTCTATATGACTTGTGCTTCCTTTACAATAAATGGATGTGTTCCATCAGACTGTCTCCAGTGGTTTTTACAGCTGAAGAAAACTGATATCTCATTCCCTCGGTGGTCTTGGGGTCTGTTGACAAAAAATCTCCCAATTCAGAGCAGTAACAACAAATTCTAAAATGGACAAAGAGCTAAACAGACATTTCTACAAAGATAACAAAACATTAATTAGCACAAGAATATTCCCAACATGATTTATCCTTAGGTGAATGAAATGGTAACCACAATGAGATATCACTTTATGACAACTGCAATGTCCTTCATTCAAAAATGTTCACAAAGAAACTGAAGTTAGGCATTATTGATCTAAGTGTATAATGATGAAACTAACATTAGAAATGGTACTCAAGGACTGTCTATATTGTTAACCTTCTCACAGACTTTGGAACCAGTACAGGGTTATCAGCTGGAAGAAGCAGGGAACATGTCAGTGTTCTCATGGTCTGCCTCTGTTTCCTTTCAAAGCTGCCACTAGATGTGTGGACTGAACTGTAGCATGCTGGGCTGAGTTTCCCATATGGGTGAAGCTCATGTCCAGGGTGTTCCACTTTTAATCCAGTTTCCTGTTTTGGCTCTGAGAAAGCAACAAAGCATAGATCAAGTCCTTGGGCATCTGTACACATGTGGGAGACTCAAAAGAGGCTCCTGGCTTTGGGTTTTGCTTAGGTCTTGCCACTATAGCCATGTGGGGAGTAAAGTTACAGATGGAAGATACTTGTCTCTCTCCCTCCCTCTCTCCTCCCTCCCTCTCTCTCTCTCTCTCTCATTTTTCCTACAACTTTGCATTTCAAATAAAAACCAAAGGTAATGCAACAAGAGGCCAGCACTATGGTTTGGCAAATAAAGCCACTGGCATCCCACAGGGACACTGCTTCATATCCTGGGTGCTCTGCTTCTATCCCAACATTCTGATAACAGGCCTGGAAAGCACGTGGAGGATGGCTCAAGCACTTGGGCTTCCTATAATCTAGTTGGAGACCTGGACAAGTCTCCTGGCTCCTGGCTCCTGGCCAGACTTGCTTACCTCTGGTCATTCTGGTTATTTGAGGAGCGAATCAGCAAATGGGAGATCCTCTCTATCTCCCATTTTTTAGTAGCTCTGCTTTTCAAATTAATAAATCTTATAACAAAACAAAGTTACCCAGCAACAGGAAATGGCATTGTGACATAGCAAGTTAGTTACTAGCTGCTTCACTGCCACTGCGGCTCTGAGTCAATGTGAATTGCAAACAGTGAAGGATGCCTCAGGCACTTGGATGGGAGACTCACGGGAGACTCAGATGGACCTCCTGGTTCTTCTGTGACATGGTCCAGTCCTGACCATTGTGACCATCGGGAGAATCAATCAGCAGAGAGCACACATATCTGTCTGTCTCTGCCTCTGTCTTTCTCCTACTCTTTCTGCAAGTCCAACTTTATAATGTACAAATAATTGGATTCATTTAAATCTTTAATAAAAGAACCTGCAGAATATTTCACTCTCTACACATTTCTGTAGCAGCTCATGAGAATAGTACATCCTCCAAGTGTTACCAGGCATCACACTGTTTCAGCAATTCCAATTCCAATAAAGCAAAAGTGAAAGGCTAATAGCTACATATATATATATATTTGGAATATATATGTTTGGAAATTGTACTACTCCAAAAGGTTCAGTGTTTATTTTCAGGTTGGTATTAAATTATCTTCATTTGAATCATGTCTAGTAATCTTGTCATGTTACAGCATCAAAGAACCGGAAGAGAAACTTTCAATCAGCTTTAACAGCTCCAATGTCTTAGCTATGACAATTTTGCCTTCTTTCCCTCTTATATGCTGTTTCCATTTTAGCTTAAAGCCATCATAAAGCTCCTAAAACACAATGTAAAACAAACTACTTACTGAAGGTGTGTTTGTGTTTTCCAGGCATGGAAGCATGTACTGGGCTGCAGGGCTACACCTGCAAGAGAAAGTAGAGAGAGGGAGTGATGAATTGGCCTTGCCTGTTCCTAGTCTCTTTAGCAGTCCCTACTGTGCTAAGCAAAGTCAGGACAGAAAGCAGACACAATGGCTGGAGAAGCAAAAGCAATCAGCTTCCCTGGGCAATAGTGCTTTACCAATGTCAAGTGCCAGGAAGGCTTCCTTGAAACAGTATCTGAAATTTCAATAATTGAGAATGATTAAACTTAAGTTATAATTTCTTTAATGCTTTATTATTGCAATTCAAGAATATTGTCACTGGGCCCTACACCTGGTAACTAAAGTCCTCATCTAACAGGAGCCATGATACTGCAGGGGCACCAATGCACATCCTGGCTACTAACTTTGCATTGCAGCTCGATGCTAGCAGCCAGAGAAATCAATCAAGCATGGCCCAATACCTGATGACCCTGACCCTGCACCTGCACGGAAGACTTGGAAGAAGCTCCTGGCTCTAGGCATCAGGTTGGCTCAGCTGTGGCCATTGTGGCCACTTGGAGAGAGAACCACCAGATGGAAGATCTTTCTCTCCGTATTTTCTTTCTATAACTCTGATTTTCCTATGAAAATGAATAATAATATTGATGTAATTGCCAAGCACTAACATTTTTCAAGAACTAATGTTCAAATCACAAAACACCATTGAAACAATATCACTGTCAAGAAAATTTATGCTACAGAACACTTCCGTGGTGTTCTATATTTTTCTATTTCTACACATGAGCTGCAAAGGACTCCATGTAAGGACTTCCATTAGAACACTTCTTGCTGTTTATATTAAAAACTTTGTAGAAGGCAAACATCTTTCGATCAGAGTAACTTTGTCCATACCTATATATGAAAAATGGATATAATACACATTTATTCTATACAGCTTTCCAGTAATTGTGCCAAATGCAAGTTCTTAGACATGGATGACACTTCCCAGCTCCTAAACCCTTAATCACACTCGACTTTGCCACATTATTTGCCTTAGCCCATAGGACATCCATAAATACGGCAACATAGTTGACAAGTGATTTTACTTTACCTCATCAAGTAGCTACATTAAGGCAACAGCTAGAGAAAACCATCAGACTTAGAGGAGTGAGTGTCATGATACAGGAGGATGGGCTGTTGCTTGGAATAGATCACATCTGATCCCCAAATACCTTGTTAAGGTCTCTTGGCTATGCAACACTTCCAATGTAGTACCCTGCTACTGTGCCTGGAACACAGTGGTGGGTTCCAAGAGCCCCCTGGGAAAACTAGATGGATTCCTGCTGCTGAACTAAATATTACAAGTCCTGAAATATTGAGCATGAATTAACCAGTGATGGAATATCTCTTCTCTGCAATCTACCTTTCAAACCAACATCATATAAAAATGATCAAGCACAGGATTCAAGATTGTGGAATAGGGTAAGGACGCTTTTTAATGGACTTAGAAACATTTAATCAGGATGAAGCAGAGAGGACACATTCTAGGAAACAGCAGAGCACAGAACAACAGCAGAGTGGTACCTGAAGATTGACACACACAGGAAAGCAGCAGAAACAAGGCCGTGGTGTTGCAATGAATGATATTCCAGTGGCATCCAGCTAATGGAAATCTAAACTCCACCAGCAGCCAGAACTCCACCAGCAACCAGGTGGGAAGGAACTTTCACTGGGAGCTTGGGAGGTGACACCAGACAAAGAATTGTCCGTCCTGCTGGTCTATTTGATTTCACCAGGAGCAGAGACAGAACAGCAGATCTCAAAAGGACAGAATGGATTTCACAGCCCAGTCAGCCCCCAAAAGCCGAATTGGGCACCATTTTGCTTAAGCGGAAAAGGTAAGGGAAAGGACTGAGCATATGCTGAGATGAGAGTGAATTCATTTCTGACTCAGTAAACTGCAGCAATGTGGCATTCCATAGGTTCCACCCAACACAGGTCTGGGTAGCCCTCAGATCTGATGGCCAGCAGATCAAGAACTCTAGTAGCCGTATGTCAGTAGCCATTTTGTACACTGTAGCAAAAGCTTTAGGACTGCAGGGCACATCAGTGAACTGCGCATGTGTTGAGCTCACGAGAACTCACTGAATTCCATGGATTGCACTGGTTCTGCAGGAAAATAACACTGACTGTGGCATCATACCGTTCAAAATAGGTCCGTGTGGCACCCAGACCTAACATCCAATGGGTTCCAATAAGATCAGCACCACCAACTACCTAGCTATATAGGACACCTGGTGTCTCTCTAATCCTGGGACCTGATCCAACCAGAAGTGGGAGAAAGGTTGCAGAGACAACGGTGCCGCCTCAGCATTGTGTCACAGGAGGTGGAGAGAGGTGAGCCAGGAGCTGGGGCTGTGAAGACCACAGTGGAAATCTAACATACGAACCCAGACCTGCAACCTGCTGGCGGGAGTGGCACAAGTGATTGCAAGCAAAAAGTTGTGTACCAATGCAATAAGTAAAATCAAACTGTAGAACTGTGGGTAGCACACCTTAGAAACCTGCCCTAAGGAGAAGACTCTGCTAACCAGAAGTACAATGACCAAGAGCAAAAGAAGAGACAAAAGCACAATGTATATTATTGAAAATTCCCCTGCAAAGGAGCAAAACCCTATGCCAACCTCAGAGTTAATTGAGGAAGACATTGAGAAAATGGGGGGACACAGAATTCAGAAAATTCATTTTTTAATTTTTTTTTACATTTTATTATTATTATCATTTTATGATACAGTCCCATAGGCTCCTGGCATTTCCCTTATCCCAGCCCCAATTCTCTCCCCCACAACCTAGTTCCTCTAGATCATGACGAATGTATACTTCTTCATACACACTCATATGTCCATCAATCCGGGCATGAACAATGGCAGAGTCAAGATATAGTAAACAGTTTCATTGTAAGTCCGTCTTTATCTGGAAGTAGAAATGCATACTACATTGTATCCTCACATCTGGATGTTAGACTCCATTTCACAGCTACTGTATATCCCCTCAAATGAAAAGTCATCATACAAAATCAACAATAGAAAGAAAAATAGAAATTTTCAATGCCATGAAGTTAAGTAACATGTTACTAGAAAAAAACAGTCTCCATTACACAGCTACTATACATCCCTTAAATGAAAATCCACAAAACAAAATCAACATCAGGAAGAAAAAAGAAATTAACACCATGAAGTTAAATAACATGATACTAAATGACTAACATGTAGCTGAAGAAAGGAAAAATCAAGAACCTTCTTGAAGAAAATGATGCTACTGTATGATCTATCAGTCATTGAATGACTTAATCAGAACAAAGTGTTTTGAACAGATGAAACAGAAAACATCAAAACCCCATGCGATATAGTGTCCGCTGGTTTTTGTTGGTGAAGTGTATCTCTTCTAGACAATAAATAGATGGGCTTTGTTTTTTAATCCAGTCTACTAATCTATGACGTTTGTTTGAGCTTAAGCCATTTATTTTCACTTTAATATGTATGGATTGTACTTTGTTCCTGTAATTTAGGAATGGGTTGTTCATTGGTTTAGCCTTCTGTTACCATTTTATTGGAATGTTCTGGGATGAATGTGGAAAAATTTTATTTCATTTTCAAAGACAAAAGAAAGCTTTGCAAGATATGTTATCCTAGGCTGACAATTTTTACCTTTTAGAATCTGGAATATGTTACTCCACTCATTCTTGCCTGTAGAGGTTCCTGTGAGTTTAATTAGCATTCCTTTATATGTCAATTGGGCTTTTTCATGTGCACATTTAAGGATCTTTTCCTTATGTTCAATTGAAGAGAGCTTGAGGATCATTTGTCGTGGTGCAGAGCGCTTTTGATCAAGACTGTTGGGAGTTCTGTGCCCCTCCTGGATCTTGTTTCCTAATTTTTTTCTAGATTAGGGAAATTTTCCTTTATTATTTCAGTAAATATATTTGTAAACCCAGTTTCTCTTTCTGCACCTTCTAAGACTCCCATAATTCTTACATTAGGCCTCTTAATAGTGTCTTTCAATTCTTGAATACTTTTTTTGGCCTGATCCAGCTCTGCTTTCAGCTTTTTGCTTGCCTCCCCCTAATGACAGGAAATATCTTCCAATTCTGAGATTCTTTTTTCTGCCTCCTTCATTCTATTTTGGAGACTCTCCACTGTACTTTTATTCTGCTCCACTGTATTCTTCATTACTAATGTATCAGCTTCCACTTTTTCATTTCCTGTGTGACAAATTCCTTGAATGGAACATAAATGGAAGCAGCTCATTACAAGTAGCCACATCCTGCACTGGCAGTCTTGAAGTAAAATATGGATATCCAAATAATTTGCTAAAGTTTCTGTGCTGCCATACCGGCTCATTACCTCCCTGCTTTAACTTAAATATGGTACAAGAATTTGTTTAGAGAACCAGCTTCTGAGAGTAATCTCTCTGCAAGCTTTCTGTCCTTGTCTCTAAAACAAACGCCTACCACAAGATGGCACCAGCATGCTGATGTTAAGGATCCACCCTCAGTGCTGGCATCCCATATGGGTGCTGCTTTAACTTTGGCTGCTGTACCTACATTCCAACTCCCAGTTAATGGCTAGGAAGCAGCAAAGGATGGTTTCAGTCTTTGGGCCCGCATGTGTAAACTAAGAATATTATCCCAATTGTAAAATGCATGCCATGAATAAGATACGAAAAGTAAAAAGCAAGAAAAATATTGCCATCAATATCAAAAATGAAAGCAAAGGCCAGCATTGTGGGATAATGTATAAAAGTGCCAACTACACCACCAATATTCCATATGGAATCAGCTGTTCCACTTCCAACCCAACTGCCTTGTTAATCACCTGGGAAGAGCAGTGCAAGATCATCCAAGAGCCTGGGCCCTGATCACCCACACAGAAGACCTGGAGGAAGCTACAGGCTCCAGGACTCAACTGGGTCCAGTGCTGCTCATTTGGGCCATCTAGCAAGTGAGCCAGTGGACTGAGGGTGTC